TCACCTAGACTGACCTGGTTTTATTTTATAATTATTTGAAGAATATTTCTTGCAACTTTTCTCTAACAGGAAGAAAGGAAGTGAAGAAAGCAATCAGTAGGAAGTCAGTATGAATTATCCATTTCATTTAAAATCTATTTCTCATAAGGATTAAATATAAATTATATGAATATTTATCATAAGAAAACTGCAGAAAAGATGGATGGAGAATTTATTGTAACAAGATAAAAAAAAGATGAGGATTTCTAGGGACACTCAAATACAGAGATAAGAGATAAACAAAAAATTCTTTGCATATTTTTTTTTACATTTTCTCATCATGCAGAAAACTCTTTCTCCTTTGTTAGGCTTTTGTAGTTTAATTCCTTTGCACAACCAGGTTTTATACTACAAACTTTAAACTTCCTGAAATGCAAATTTCTATAAGAATTCAGACAGCATTTATACACTATTCAACATTTCCTCATTATTTAAAGATAGTACAAGTGCAATGGACTTATGGACACAGAATAAAATAATATTCAGCAGGCCAGTAAAGTTTATTTGTTGGTTTTGGAGTTATAGGGGTTTTATTTTATGTTTTTTTCGTGTCACATTGTGTCAATCACTTAAATTTGATAGATTGACTTCTAATCAAACAGGCTAACAGTTACTATTAAAATTGTGTGAGTTAACTTATCAGTCCAGAATTTTTTCTTGTTGATAACTGCTTCCAAAAAATATAAAATATATAAAATGTATATATTAATATAATATATATAAATATATAAAATATAAAATATATAAAATATAAAAAATATAAAATATTTATCAGTAATGTCTAAACCAAGAGGACAAGAAGAATTTTATACCAAGCTAAAACATGCCAGTGCCTTCAACAAAAAGAATCAGTTGAAAGCCATATTTTACCTTATAATTACCAAACAGCCAGATTACTTATCTAGAAGGTCAGATTACTTATATCAAAGGATATTTAAACAAGCAGAAGTATGAGCTGGAAGTGTCATCTTCTCCTTATGTTATTAATCCAAACATTTTTAGGAAACAAGTACCTTTCAACAATGAAGGGGTGGCAAATACAAAATATATAAAGCAAACTTCTAGGATTCTCACCCAAACTTCTCTCACATTGATGTATTTATGTGGCTGACCTTCCTTGCTTTTAGAAACAGAAAAAATTAAAAAATGAAAATATTTGACAAAATTATGTGAGAATTGATACAATATGAATGAAGACAACAAATAATTATCATGGCAGGCAATTTACCTCTGTTCTGCTATAAATTATAAATTTGGGATACATACAAAGAACAGAAAATTGATTACTGTGAGAGCAACAGGGCTCAGGAAGTTCTTATCAACTCCAAAAGTCAGGCATTTTCCTGGAAGAAGCAAAGCAAGATGTATGGAGATAGAATCAGTTGTAAGCAAGCATAACACAGAGGCAGCACACACATGTAAATGTGGGTACCTATTACCATTGGAAGTACTGATAGCATGCCATATGAAATATAAATCAAGTGAAAATAACTAGAGACAACTCAAATGTGCACATTTGCCTTTTTTGACCAGCAGATACATAGCTGGAAAATATGTATTGAAAGCTTGGCTTTGGAAGAATAATGGTTACATACAGTGGCCATAAGAGGTAGACCTAGTATAAATTCCCTCAGAATCTGAGAGGGAGCATATACTTCAGAACTCACAGCACTGAAGACAATACAACAAGCTAATTCAGCTGAAACAATTTCTAATTATATCTGATCAACACATTTTTCTGGTTTTGTCATAACTTACAGCTTACAGCTTAACAGCTTACTGAAATTGTATTTTAAGTACCACTAAAACTTTAAATGGGGGACCTTATAACTCTCTCCAACTCCCTGAAAAGAGGTTGTAGCAAGGCAAATGTTTGTCTCTTTTCCCAGGTAACAAGTTGTGGGACCAGAGGAAATGACCTCAGGTTGCGCCAGGGGAAACTTAGATTGGATATTAGGAAAGAATTCTTCACTGAAAGGGTGATCAGGCATTGATTGAAAGAGGCTGCCCAGGTAAGTGGTGATATCACATTCCTGGAAGTGTACAAAAGATGTGTGGATATGGCACACAGTATAGTAATGAGCATGGCAGTACTGTGTTGGTGGTTGGACTTTATGATCTTAGATGTCTTCTCCAACATTAGTGATTCTGTGATTTTATAGAACATAGAATTTAAAATAACTTAGTTTTCTAATTAACTTCCAAAACAGTAGGTAAGTTGTCTACAGCTTTTTCCTTATTGGCCCAGCTGTCCTCCTGTTGTGCGGAAGAGCCAGACAGTTGCATGGAAGAGACAGAGAGCAGAGATCCAGAGTAGTGTTGATAGAGGGTTGGCTAATATAGGTCCCTTGGTAAACATATACTATGTCACAAAATATGTATTTTTAAAAAAAATTAATCCTTGTGTGTTTTGAGATCTCTTTAAAATACAAGTGAGAGCAACCTGAGTTAAAAAACCCTTGCCTTCTTGGTCCCTGACTATTATCAGTGTCACAGACTTGGATTTTCCCATGTTGAATAAAAAATGTAGTGTAGAACCCTCTGCCTGCAGTCTGATGACATGTATGGTGCACTTTTTCAAGGGTGCCCCCAGAAATTTGTGAGGTGCTTCAAGAAGACAGTTGAAACAAAACAGAACAAGAAAAACATGGCATGAAAATCTAATTCCAAGTTGTGCAAAGTAATACCTGAGAAACATCATTTGGCCTGATGAAAAGACCTATTTGATCCAGACAGGAGATGACTACAGAGCCATGCAGTTTGGAGCAGCTCCATTCACAGCACCTTTTTTCCCAGACAGCATCAGAGAGGCTGCTGGAGAATCCACATTCATGTTCAGTAGGTGATCTTCACAGAGGTCCCAGAACATACCCCTTGCCTCAACTATTCTATTCATCCTCATAAAACAACAGCCCAATTCTAAAAGACAAGTTTCTTCAAGGATAATGTACTCAAGAAGTTGTCACTGCTTCAGATTCTTTATAAGGAAAAATGGAAATAAAAATTTCAAATTCTGAGCAAAATTCCTGACGTGATTCTGAAAAGCTGTAAAATAATGCTGATTACAACACCCTGTCATAAAAGTAAATAAATCTAAATAACTCTAGGAAAGGTTTTTCTCTGAATGCACAAATTTGTCTTTTTACTTTGGTGATACTGTTGGGCAACGAGACTATCAAACACTTGCAGCCTTTAATGACACAGAGTAATGTGTTGAAAGTTTGTGTCAACTGGTGTAAAAATTATGACGGAGGTGTAATTTTTCTGAACTTGACCAATAATAGACATACATGGACAAGAAGTTCTCTGTAATAAAAATTATGCAGAACTCATTTCACTTATTAAAAAATTGACTTCATAAATTAGTCCTCAGAAAGATACAAAACCAAATTATTAAACAATTTTTCTGTAAGGACCTTGAGGGTATTACATAAGTACAAAATCAATGATTCTTTGCCAAGATGCACTAGGACACAAAGGAATGAACTTAAGATACAACATGGGAACTTGGAAGAAAAAAAAGCTATAAGGAAAAAGTATTATATCATGACAATAATCAAACAGCGACTCAAAAAGGCTGTAGAATCTCCATCATTAGGAATATGCCTAATTTGACTGAAAATCACCATGAGCAGCCTTATCCTTTTGGAACAGGAGGCTGGATTATATGACCTCTGAAGGTCCTTTGCAACCTATGTTATTCTGTGGTTCAAAGATTTAATTTTCTTCTTTGATGTGTAACCTGATAGGTTTTACTGGAAGGGGAAACTATAGCACTGCAATACTTCAGCTTGTGTTAAGCTCTTCTCATGTCACTAACCATCAAGGAAGGTACAGTTTTTCATTAATTACTGAAATATAGAACTTGTAGAAACTTGTAGAGACTTGTAGAAACTTGTAGAAATACTACAAACACAGTTAAGTCACTAGGTTAAGCTTGGTAGCTTGCAATACTTTCTGTAAGACTGATAACCATGCAAATACTACAACTCTCCATTATCTGTGCTCAATGATGGAAATAAATACAAGAACCTTCTGACTCTGAAGGGTTCTTACTCATGGAGCAATCTTGTAACAAGCCTTTGTTGGCTCTTGCCAGCTTAACTGCTCTCAGTATTTGATGAGCTTGTTAAAACACACAGTATAAAAACTACATATCCAGTTATTGATGCTTTAAGAACAATGCTTGTTTAACTGATTTGGAAGCTGACACAGGAAGGAGGGTGTCTTGTATCTCTTTGTAGAAACACTCCTTTAGCTTAAATTTATATATTTTAGTGCTACTGTTATCAAAGGAGAGCCAGCCCCGTGGCCTGTACCTCCCAACCCCACTGTGCCTCCTTCTGGAGGGATTGGAGAAATTAATTCAGGATATTTTCTCCTGTTCCCTTGTTCTCATTTCAGTGTGGAAGCTCTACTTTTCATGAAGCCCTTCTACTTCACCAATAGCACAGGCTGGAGTCCTACGGGGCAGCTGCCACTATCTATGTGCAGCAAAGAAATGGAAAAAATCAAAATTTTTTTTGGAAAAATCAAAATTGGTGTATGGGCCACCACTTACACAAGGAGCAGTAACCTATCAAGAATAAAATATATATGACTGGATTCAATTGCTGTTGCAATATCATGATGATACATTGAAACAGAAAGTTGCTTTTGAATATGTGATATGGTCTTTTACACATGGAAATTTATTTAAATGACTGACTGAAATATGAGAGTGTATTTTTTATTATCTGCTTTTCCTTTATAGCTCATTTTCACAGTTCTAATTTTTCTTGGTGCTAATTTTAGCTTCCCATGGTTTACATACACTTTAACTTTCACTTTAAGAAGCAGTCTGACCATCTTAAAAAAACTTCTTTGCAAATTTATAATGGCATTACATAATTGAATAAATTATGAAGAATTTATTCACTTTCCCGGCAGAATTTCATCCAATCAATGTAATTAGCGTCTAGTATTTTACAAATGAAGCTGACATCCTGTAACCTGGCCACTTGCTGATCATGCAAGTTACTTTCAACGTTGTCTAATTTCTTGTTATGCCATCTTCCTCTTCTTTATGCAGGTCTGAAACTGTTTGAATAGTATGCTGCTCACTGGCCCATTACTTGAACAGTTTCCTACAAAAGAAATCATTTTTTTTTAAAGAAAGAGGGTCAGCCTTGTCACTAGCAGGCTCTTCCTCTGAGGCCGGATGCTCACTGATGCTCTCATTTTGTTCGGGATGTGGTTTTAAAGCCATTCTGTCAGCTTGCACTTTGCAGTGGACTGACTTGATCCAGAAGTTAATTGCATTGACATTACCCTGCTTCAGCAAGCCTAAAGTATCAATAAATCATTTCTTTAGTCACTGCACTTTTCCTGCTGCTTTATTGATATACTTCACCTGAACTGATAAACAGGGAGAAAAAGATCTCTTCCTTCTAATATACTTTGCATGCTTAATAATACCTTTCTGAACAAAACCCATAATGTTAATATACATGAACACATAAAAATATGTTAGTCAGATTACTTTAGCTTTTCTATTCTTATCCCTTTTATAAGATTTGGTTTTAGGAAGACATTGCATTTAGGGAACACAACTTTACTTGTTATGTAGTCTGAATGATGAGTCCAACTGCAATTCCATAATAGAACTTCTCTAAATAATCCAAAAATTCCTCTGAAGAAAATTATCTTATTTTTTTTTCCATCCCTCTCCTTTCACCCCTAGATCTGTCTTTACAAGTACCTTATGAGCACATGCTGAGAGCCAAGTGCACTCACACTGTTTACAGGCGGTCCAGAGCAAGAGCGCTTCCACTACTGAGAATAAATTATCTGTTGTAACGTACCTCTTCACTTGAACCCACACTTCAGCACAGCATGTCAACATTGTTTTCATCAGTAAATCAGTAAGCAAAACTTACTGTGAAATTTTAATTACTTATTCTTCTTTGCCACTAAAACAAAGTGAGAAAATAAGCTGACATAAGTAACCTGTCAAGCAAAGATTTTAAACCTATTCATAAGAATCTGTAAATGCAATCACATAAAATACTTGTCCAACTTAAATGTGTGGTTGAGAAAAATATAAAAAACCCAAAATGGTAAATGAGTCATATGTTATTTATTGTGCATACATGTGCATATAGCTTTAACTCTTGGACATGGAAAGTTGGCTTTGGGAGACAGGAGATTTCTGCATATCTGAATGAAATGAGAATTTTGAGGATTTTTTTAAAAAAAACAAGAGAGAAAAAAATATTGTTTTAAAGATTATTTTTCCAATGTTGTTAAAATATAAGTCATACCCTGGGGCCACTAGATAATAGGAAGGCTTGTCATTAATCTCAGTCAGATTTTTGAAAGAGTCAATGCAATGAACTTCCACTTAATATTGTTCCCATTATAAGAATGAATGGTATTTTGTATGCAGTGACAAGGAGAAAAGAAAATCAATTTTGTGGTTTTAACCTTAATCAGCATACTTGCATATGGCAAGCTCTCACTCTCTGCGTTGTGAATATATGAATCCATGGGTTTGTGAGTGTGAATCTACAGAAAAGAAAAAAAGAAAAAAAGTATAGAAATAATTTAGTGAACACACCACTTGAGTTCACTGAGTAAATGTTGAATTTTCAAATAAAAATAAACTACTAATCATTTCCCTGCTGTTCATTTGGCTTGTGACTGTTTCTTGTTTATTTTTTTCCCAAGACGGCTTGCTACTTGACACCAAAGCTGTGGCAATTTCCTCCACTGGGCAAAAAAGAGGAACACAATTTTCATCTCATAGGTTCTAACAATCCATGTGGTTACTGGCTTTTAATATGTAATGAATAAATTTGAATCTGGTGGCAAGTATGGGGAATAATAGCATATCTAACAAAGTACAAATTTTTCAACTTGCAACCAGAATGGTTTAATACTTTTACTCAAAGGCCGTTTTTAATGTAGATAGCTTACTGATTAGAAAAGATCACCCTAAACTGCTTGAATTTAAGGTACCTTTAAAGGAAATTCACCTTTAAAGGAAAAATGAATCCACTTTCTAAGTACAGCAGACAGAAAGTTCAAATGATAAGAATCACTTGTCAAAACTAATAAAACAGGACCACATCTAATATTATTTTTTTGAACTACATTTCGCATTTAAAATTTTAAATGGTGCCTTAGTGAAGAAGTAACATTATTTGTGATGTGTGCTTTATGTGCAAAGAGAAACTAGAAATATTCAGTCTTTTCATATCAAGCCAAGGGAAAGAGAAGCAGCATGAGTAAAGTCGAAACATTCAGCAAGGTTCAAGTATACGCTTCATTCAAGGAAGATTTATTGGTTTCACTGGGATGTAATTCCTTATTATTCATTAGACACTTAAAAAGTTTGGTATCTAACTTAAGGGTCATTATAAGATCACTATGCAGCCAAAGTGTTAGGAACTTCCTGAATGCAATTTATCCCATTCATTTTATTTTTAAATAAGCCTCTAAAATAAGAAGGATTAAATAGTCACTCTCTCCATAGATAGCAAAGGCAGTGAATATGAGTACCTTATCCCTACAGCATTTGTCTCCTCATAACAGTATTTTTTCAGTATGAGATGCATGCTCAAATTCACAAACTGAGATTAATGTGGCTCTGCTCTGTGAAACCATTTTTGTATCATATGTGACAAAATTACTTGGATATTCATTGCATGAATGTATTATGAAAATAGAAGAGCAGAAGGCTCAAAAAGAAGAAAGATAAACAGCAAGAAGAAAATTTTTGATCAACATTTCAGGGTGATTAAAATGCGATGACAGTGTTCTTTTCAGACAGGTTCCTATCATCTCACAGAGCCAAGTTTCTAATCTCATTTTACCCTTTTAGGGAAACAGCACATCAGCATTTAACAGTAAGATAGATGCAGTTCCCAAGGGGTGAAAAGGCTGCTGTTGAGAAGCAGTAGAGACTGATGGAAGGAAACAGAGAAGAGAATTATAGAACAATACAATTACAGAATCGTTCAGGTTAGAAAAGACCTTTAAGATCAAGTCCAACCATTTACCCAACACTGCCAAGTTGCACACCTAAACCATGTCTCCAAGTAGGTAGAAACAATTAAAATCACAGGCTTTTTACCGTTTTGAATCCTATTTTGAATATCAAAGAAAATGACTCTCTAATAGATAATTACTTTAAAAGGCACTTCCCTCTAGGCTGTGGACTGCTATTCCATGGATGTTACATAGTATGATGGATTTATTGTACTGTGGTAAGTACTATAGGGCAAATTATTTCATCCTTACTTGTACTTCATAAGAAGGATATCATTTTCTTTCCAGACTGAGGATGCATGCAATAACAGTGTAAACCATTCTTACTGGACAAGAAAGATTTAATAAAATGTAAAAAATAAAAGCTACTAGAAAAGGTAATTTCTAAAGTGAGTATGACAAGTTTCTTTATAACAAAGCTCAGATAAAAATTAGGTTGTGATGGGCTCCTGCTTACACCTGCCTTTGTAGCAAAAACTTTCCCCTTTTGCAGTCATCTCTGAAGCTTTGAGTTCCCCTTGAGTTCTTATTCCTGCACTGGGAAGAAAGACTAAGAGTTGCCAAGTTTACATGAAAGCTACTGTCTCATAGGGTGTAGACAATTACTTTATTTTGCCCATTGTCTGGATTAGTTCTGATTATAATGGTTTATTTACACCCAGTTTTATTGCTACCAATTATATTTTCATTTAAGAAGGCTGTCCAGCTCCTGTATTCATATCTGGTTTTAGGGTTGGCCTCCAGAGGGTGTTTCTTAGTCAGGTATGCAGGATAAGCATCACCAAAGCACAGGGCATGGACACCAGCAGCCCTGTGAGAGGGCAGGGGGCTTTCTTACCTTTCTTACTGTGCCTTTAAGGCATGAGATGTTACGCCTGGGCATTCATACTCAGAGTGGAGACTGGAGAGCAATTAGTTCTGCAGCAGTTCCACGAGTACATGCTGATGACTTTTGTGAGGTAACAACAAATTGGAATCAATGGAGTTCAGCTTTTAACAGAATAATAATGGCAGAAGCAGCTCGTACAACTATTCACCTTTCAAGCAAAAGATTAGACCATCATGTGTCAAGATTTTTAAAGCAGAGCAGTAGCTCAGCCATGCATCTAAGTAGATTAATTGGGCTGCACAAAAATTGTACAATTGTGTAGTGCAAAACCATAGCCTTTTTGGTTTATAGATATTTGTGGGGGATAGAATGAACAAACTGATTTATTCAATGAAACTTGTTATTGAACTTGCACAATACTCACATTCTTTTAAAGAAATCTCTGTTGGAAGGGAAATAAGCTGTGGCTCCTCAGATCCATTTCCTCTCTGCATTCTTCTGCATTGGTCCATTTCTAATAATTGGCACACACTGAGATGGCATCAGTCTGCCTTATTTAAGCACCCAAAATGAGGGAGAGAGGAGCTCTCTCTAGAGACCGTCAAAGATACCTACTGTTCACCATTTTCTATGCCCAGTTAGGCATTGCTTTCTTACTCCTAGTAAAGTAAGTGTGAGAAAAGGCATCTGTACTATAGAGATTAGATCCCTCTCTTAGCAAATAGGAAAAGCACACATTTTCTTTTCTTGGGGTTTTTTGTTTGATTGTTTGTTTGTATTTTTGTTGGTTTGGGGTTTTTGGTTTGTTTTTTTTTTTTTATTAAATAGAATATTTTAAAATATTTGACCATATATCATAGGTATCTGACTGTGGGCATTGACTTAGGGTGACTGAACACAGAAATGGGCTACACAGAGAGTTTTTGGAGTGTCCATCCTTGGACATATTCAAAACTCAGCTGTATATGGACCTGTGTCAATTCCTACAGACATCCCTGTATTGAGAGGGAGAGTTGGATTAAATGATGTCCAGAGGTGCCAATTGATTTCAGCTGTTTTGTTGATGCTGAACTGATTTTGTGTTTCTTGTTTTTATATATTCTCTATATTCTTTATATGTATATATTTGTAGCTCTGTATCCTATTACAGTATTTGTAGCTAGCATTTTGCCTACTCCATTAGACAGAAAGAGAAAATAAATTCTCCAGTGGGTCCAAGCTGGGGGTCCAAGGTTAGATTCTCTGGGAAGCCAAGGTTAAAACTAGCTCTCCAAGACACAACTTCATAAATAAAATACTATCTGAGGGGGCTGGAGTTTGGTGGGGGAGAGGTAGAAAGGGTTGGACCAGGGAGGAATTACCTCATTACTTATGTCTCTAATTGGGGATTCTTGTCAGTAATGCTAATTTAATAAACATATAAAAATTGTATACACCTTATGTTACATGTGCACCTTCAGCTGCTTTCCACCTAGTAAGCTGTGCACCTAAGGATTTGTATAAAGGTAACCCCTTTTTATCACCTGGCTCATGATTTTAGGACCAGCAAAAAGGCTGTGATCACTGTGATTCTGGGATTTTGCATTCCTCCTGGGTCATCTGACTGGCCTTCCATCTCTTACATGTGTTTTTTTCATGAATGAGCTGAATCAGGAGCAATTTGTCCTGTTACAATGGCTTGATTTCCCACCCTTTGGAAGGACCATTCTTGAAGCTGGAGATCATGTTTGAAACCAGTCCTCTCTCCTGGAACTCCCCTTTCTCCAGTGTGGTTTCTCATGGGATGTTCAAGCACAGCCCTAACAGGTCAAAGTTCACTCTCCTGAAAGACCAGGGTGGAATCTTGCTGTTTGCCTTCATCACTTCTCTCAGTATCCTGTCACCATCTCATGGCTACTGTAGACAACAGCCAAAATCTTCAACCAGTTCACCCTTCCTTTTTAAGGGCCAGGTCCACCAGAACATGTCCCTTCATCAGCAACAGTCATCCATGTCATGAATTTATCACACCAATGCACACACCTGGATTTTTTGGGATCTGCACTGTTGGCCTTCCAGCAGATGTTAGATACTTCATGACAAATTTCCTACAAAATAGAGCAAATGGAATCATGTCTCTTGGTCTTCAATTTTGGGGGTTTATTTAAGACTGTGCACTTGAGTAATACAGTATATATTGCATTTTTTTTACAGCCACCATTTCCCCAGTGCCACTTATCTTATATATTACAGTGCTGGTTTAGTTGTCTTGTTGGGTTTTTATATCTCTGTATCACTAATTTTAAGATTTTTATTTCTGCAGAAAGAGAAGTGAATCTCTTCCACTTAAAATCACATTCCCTCACAAGTTACTTAGCAGGAAATAATAAGTTTAACAAAATAAAATTCAATTTGAGCTTGAATGTTAACCAAACAGGCACCTTTATGCTTTACACAAATAATTTAAGAAGCATAGCAAGATAAAAGTATTTAGTAAACAATGTGCTTAATGTCCACCTTTCACAACTTAATTTAAATCAAATTTGTGTTAATTCAGTTGAAGATCATTCCTTTATTTTTTCTTTTTGCAAAGAAAATGACCTCCAGGGGTAAACTCACCACCAGTTTAAGCTAAAGATAAAAAATCTCAGCTTCAGAGTGTACTTAGTTAAGGAACAATACAATGAGAAATTCTTGAATGTTACAAGAAATCTAGGAGACTAAGCTAAGAAATAAATTAAGTACAAACAAAACTTGAAGATCAAGAAAATCTATCAATCACTTTCTGACATAGTGTTTTCCTTTCCCTGTTAAAAGAATGTAAATAACAAATCATGAAAAAAATGCAAATGAGTAGAGAGAATGCAAATGTCCTCAGGAGTGTGAAAATACACTAAGTTCTGTTCAGACAAAGATTCACCCACTATGTGAATCCTCCAGACTTCAAATTCATGTTTAGATTCTTCTCATAAATAAATAGTAGTCCTATATGGACATAAAAAGGCCCTTGGTCCACTTGTTCCAATTGTGGAAAAAAGTGAAAAGCCAGAAAAACTGATTTGTGCATATCTGTGCATTAGGTATGACATTTAACATGGTCTACAAGACAAAACAATTCACAAGTGAAGGTATCATGCTTATAATTTCATCTTATCTGAAAAACAGACACACTTCCTGATACATATAATTGCCTCAGGCTTTCTGCAGAAACTGGCAGACATTTCTAACCTGAACTAAGTTGTACTGAGCTTATCTTTTCCAGGACTTTTTGTTACTCTAAGACTTAGATACGCTTGATTGTAACGAAAGTTAAATCACGGAAGAAAGGTGTTTAAATTGGAAAGACTGGCCTGAAGAAACTGAAAGCTTTTCTTGGCTATTCACAACATTTTAGTCTTAGTTTAATGTGCAAGTCTTCACAAGTGATAGGGAGGGACCCTATGGTTTTATTTGTTGAGGGTTTTGTAGGCTTCTGAGTGAAAACTATAGAAGAAATGGTGCAAAGTGCTGGAAGGATTCCTTCCCTCCTCATGGCCTTTTAATAATGCTGGATGCATGAATTGGAACTGAGGATGAGACAAATTACCAGAACTGGTGTCAGGAATATATTGACTACACTGGATGAACTCTGCTTTTGACATCCAATATAGGTTCAACTATATGTTGAACATCAGCTCCTTATCATGAAATACTGTACCATGAGTTCCAGTACTTCATATATTTCGGGCAAATTGGCAACAAGGCCATGCTGCCTACAGGGATGATCTGGAAAAACTTCCCAGAAGAAGCTGAAATCAGAAAGACTTTCTACTTCAGAAGATGAATTTTAGATATGGCATCAGCTCTCCAGCCTAGAAGGCAGATAAGAAGCTCCCTTGTAATCGTATAAGCAAAGCAAAACAAAATTGAGGCTCTGCACTGCCTTGCTTAACACCAAGAAGTCAAATTTTAAATGTAGCAGTGATTTACAACTCTCAAACACATAAGTTATTAGACTAACTCCTGAGCAAGAGCAGTGTGTTTTAGCATACTAATAGGAAACTTGACCTTGACTATATGTCTGTTGTGAATAAGGAGGATAAAGAGAAAGAACTGAACAAAACTATAATCCAATGTGACTGTTTAAGTATTTAGTTAGAATTTATATTAGTGGCAAATATTCTTGCATATGAGCAACAGCTAAGATTATTTTTGGACTATACGTAAGATATAACACAAACAAGTGATATGAAGTAATATGGATTATGCAGTAATATGAACTGGACTACATTAAATGTTTTAGAGTGGACTTCATCTGAGCTGATGTTGGGTGTCTGCTGTACAGATGTTCACCTGCACAAGTCACCCTAAGATTTTTGAATGGTATGACAACTATTTCAATTGATGATTTAGGACTCATGTCTTGCTAGTTTCAATGTAGATTCCTACATTTGGTTATAGTCATAGACTGTGATAGGCTAATTGACCATAACGGCAATAAAATGTTAATTTTAAGGTGGTGATAATAGCTTCCCAGCAACATTTTTCAGATAGCCAAAAATTCACATCCTCCATTCTGTAGACCCAAAAAAATGTATCAGTTTGGACATAAAACAAAAGCAGTCACCTTCATCCAGAAGAATGCAGAAAGACAACTGTGGTTACCTGTCCTCCAGTTTGGACATGACTTTGAGTCAGGTCATATTTAAACACTGAAGCAAAAACTTAGGTGTCTGAAATATGAGTGCCCTCTGTGACACTTCCTTAAGGTACCATATGCACCACAGACCAACTCAATTAGGATTGTTGTGGTTTAGGATTGTAGCTATGTACTTTGAAGCTACCACTCCTCCTTTTTTTTGTTCATGCAGCAGTTATCACAAGCTTTTTTTTTTTTTCCTTGAGACATATTGAGTTAAAGTATGTTAGTGCATTCTTTGGCTCAGGAAATATGTCTTATACATGTGCAGAAACAGCAGAAATACAAAAAGGCTTTTATAACAAGGTGTTATCAAGTTCAAGTGCATTAATATCTTTCAGTATCACTGAATGTGCCTTTCATGATATACATGAAAATAAGAACATAAACAGACTTTTTAAGCAAACTGGGATTGTAAT